ACAACAATAATATATTATTAATATTGTATATTACTAATACACTTTGTAACATACAATTATTGTATTGGTGTTATATTTTGTTATGTAGACGAAAGTGTCTTCTATCGATTTTCTATCGATAATATGTAATAAATAAGATCTCATATATTTTGTAATATGTAATTATATACTTTACATATTAATAATATAATATTATATTATTACATTATATATATTATAATATTATAATAATATACTATTCAATATTAATATATTATTGTTATATTATATTATTACACAACAATAATATATTATTAATATTGTATATTAATAATACACTTTGTAACATATAATTAACGAAGTATAATATTTGCTTACACAAAACGATTTTCCTGTTCACATTCTTGAAAGTATGAATTTCCACGAAAATCAGCTATTTCGCTGCTTGATACACGTACGAGAGTTAGTATCTTTTGTACTTGCTTCTGTTAAATGTAATACCATTTTATAAAATTATGAATTCTCTGTACGAACGATTTCTAATCGGAGGCTTCTTCAATCGTACTTCGCTAATTATAAAAACTTGGTTCGCAATCTCTTTATTTCTGGATTTCTTTATTGATTGCTGTTGTTTGTCTATTTCGTGCGAAATAACACAGCGGATTATAGGCGAATTAGATAAAAATATAATTTCACCTTACGTTCTGCGTCCACCTTGCCTCACGCCGCTCCAATTTTTATCACTCTCTCTCTCTAATTAAACGAGCGTAACGCGACAGACGGTAATGCGATCCAATTAACGTTGGATTACGCGATATCGCGAGACGAATTCTCCACGTGTTAAAGGAAGAAAAGAGAGAAGGATGCGAAACAGTAACGTGCATTTTGTCTTCGGGCCGCGAACACTCGACTTCTTGGGAATTTTTCTACGTTGAACACGCGCGACAAACGAATGTTTAACAATTAAAAATTAAGCAAGAGAAGAGAACAACGAATGGCAAAGATACTCGCGACGCAGAATTATCTCGTAGAGCGCCACATGGAACGTGTTCGCTTCATCAAGCCCGAAACTTTACTGGATACGTGAGTTCTGGCGTAGAGGACAAACACTCTGTATGTGAAGGTTCGGTGTTTCGAGGAACAGAGAAAGAAAGGAGAAGGTTCTTACGTTGTGGAAGATTGTATACCTGGAAGGTTCTTATGTTGCTCGATAGTAAATACTCATGGGTTCGTACGTGCTTCGCTAAATTCTCGAACTTGTATAATTTATAATTTCATTCAAGTTATAATTTATCTCTCCGGGCATTTTTCTTTTCTTTGCAATATTCTTCTTTTTTTTTTTCTTGTTGTAAAAGTGGAATATTTCACAATCGTAAAATTGCGCTGAACATTTACACTAAATATGTTTAAAAACTGTACAGTTTAAACTATCTGTTAAATTATATCATTCGTTATAATTCATTATTAATATTTAATATGTAGATCTGAAGAGAGAACGAGTACCTTTAACTTCTTAATATCTAAAGTATTTTAAATTATTATTAATATCTTTAATTATGATCATTCATATTTTTAATTATTGCAATATTTACAGCGAATAATTTTAAGAAGTATTTTACAATTCCATTATGTAAAGAGCAAGGAGCTCGAGAAATACTTCCATTCAGAAAATTCTAGTCATGCAATATTTCAAATAAATACGAAAAATTATAATTTCAGTATACGTAATTTCGCTTCTCTAACAAGAAAATGTTAAAAATTACAAGCATCATATAGCTGGAGTTGTAACATCTGATATTGTACGTATTTTAATACACATTTGTCTTCGTTTTATCTTACCGTTTCGTTATTAAGAACTGTTCGTCCTCTGAAAGTTTTATATTCCTCGCGAATTTTATTGCTCTTCTATTAGTGCTTCTTTCAACGAAATCGAACGTGTTTATCAAATCGCCAAAATGTGTTCTAAGTGCGACGTAGAAAAATTCTTCAGCAAACAGTGATGGAAGAAGAAGTAGGAAAAGCTCTGGGAGACTTCTTCGTAAACGTATCGTCTGTGAAAACTCACCGTAAAGTCGAATGTTCCCCTCCGCGTCGCCGATCGAGTTCTTCGAGATGCACTTGTAACCACCGAGATCCTGCTTCTGTAGATTCATGATCACCAGCCGCATCTGTACACTGTACACGGACGTCTTCAACTCCGACATCGAGTATTTGTGGTTGCTAATTATCATCTCGCCTGCGAAACAAGAAATTTACCTTCTTAGATATCATTCGTACCATGAGACAAAGTTTGGAAATCAATTTCGCGAATAATTATACATGTGCGATTACTGGAAAGAGACTTTGAATCTTTATGAAAATTCAATTTTTGCAAGCTTAGCTGGAGGTTTGATTCACCTAAATATTATATTATATTACATTAGATATTAATTACATTAATTAACTATTTTAATATTTTAATTTCAATTTTAATTTAAATTTTAATTTTAATTAATTATCAAATATTGCAATATTCCATTTTGAATATTTTGTACAATTTCATATATTGTTTCTATGTTTTTAAATTTTTCATAAAAATTCACAGTCGATTAATAAAATTATTATTATGTAAAAGTATGATTATAATATTAAATAAAAAAAATTAACAAAGTAGAGTAGTTTTGTAACCATACACGAGCACAAACGTTTTCGTCGTCGCGTGATTCTTAGCGGGTATCGTACGAAATTCACGGGGATAAGTTTCTCCAAACACGTACGAATATATTTTTATTGTTGCAATTTTCTTTTGAAAATGTTTCTTCTGAAATTTCCAAAGAACTCTTCAAGAGTTAGCGTTTCTGGCAAATGAAATTTTTATATTTCATATTTGCCAGAAACGAATGAATTGCGTTAGTGAAAGTGTGTGGTATAATTATTGGAGGAATAATTCCACGTGTAAGAATAGATCAAAAATTTAAATTTATTTCTCTAGCTAATTCCAACTGAATAGAAATAAATAATCAAAGGGATGTGTGTAAGAACAAATAAAAAGTAGAATAACATTTTCCATTTGACGTTTCGTTTTCCAAACAGAATTTGAATTTGTATTTAGTTAAGTATCTGGCTTGCAATTAGTGCACGTGTTTTTACATTCTTACTTGCACTTACAAAATTTATTATACTTATACAATAATCTCTTTGGAAATAATTCAAAATTCAAATGGTATTTGAGAAATCTTCGAACTCGTTTCGGAGGAAATGAAAAATGAAGAAATTCTTTTCATTTCGATTTTTATTTCTCGTGTAAAATCATACTCTGGTCGGTTGTATTATAATTTTAGGAATAATATAATTATATTAGGAATAATATTATAATTGTATTATAATTTTAGGAATAATAAATCTTTGAACTAAGAAGATTCAGTACAGAAAGATTATTTGCAAATGACAAGAAAGTACCAATTGAGAAAAATTAAACGTGCCATTTCTTTCTTATGGTCTTTGAAAGTTTTAAAACAATTTGTACAGAATTATAAAAAATTTTAAAAAAGTTTTAACATAATTTGTACAGAATTATAAAAAATACAATTATAATAAAATACAATTCCATGTAAACGCATCAAATTATGTTAACTTTTATTCCATAGGACTATACGTTACACCATAAGGAAGCGAAGAAAAAAACGCTCCTTCGACGGAGAATCCCGTCGAATAGAAATTTTCGAACCGTACAATGTTTCGACTTCGTTTCGCATTTAAATTTCTGTACGTGACTTATCTTCGTGGCTCGCCAGCGAACACACTTCGGCGAATTATTATTTTACCCAGCCAGCCAACGAAAATCCAGTTTCTATCGTGCGCAATTTAATAAACCTATCGATTCACGTTCTCCGATCGAAAAATAAAATCTTATATCCGTTCTTCATACAATGACGAGCAAAAGAAAGTTTACAATATATGTATTATGCATGTCACTTTTGTTAAATGGTATTTGATACAAAGAAATAATAAACTGACGAGAGCAACGAATAAATCTCAAATAAAGAGATAAAATGATGTTACGTAAATGATATTAAAAGCAACAAGTAAAAATGGTAACGAAAGTAGTAAAGAAACTCTTACTATTAATATTTAGATATCATGACGTTCGAAAGATTTATATTTGCTTGCAATGGTATTATTGATACCATTACTTTAGTTAATAGAAACATAAATTTTATTTATTTAATGCACAAACGATCAACTATAGATATAGCTACTAGTTACTATAGAATAAAGATGAAGTTCAAAATTGTTTGGTTCAATCAATTCTTACAAATTTATACGTATACATTTTACATGAAATTAATGCGAAATCGATCATTCTATGTATGACGATCTAATTGACATTTTATTGTTAACATTTATTTATATATTCCTGCATTTATACATTTATACATTGAATGTAAAAACGCGAGCATTCGCAAGTCGAATAATTCATAGTTTTTTCACTGACATAGAAAATCTACGTAGATACTTTCGAAAATTAAATTACAGAATTTATGAATACTTTAATCATCGAACGTTGTTCCCTTCTGGAAACGATTTCGTCAAAACTGTCGGTATTATTTTTCGAAACGGCGGATAGTAAAATTAAACGACGGTGGAAACAGTTAATTGAATCTTACCTGATTCGCGTGTCCAATAATTAATGGCCTTCGGGGAGGCTTCGACGAGGCAGACCAGCGTAACGTTGGTTCCAGTTGGCGCGCCGACTAGCTGGTTTGGTACTTGAACCATCGGGTGAACTGCAATTTATCGTGACGCCATTAATCAATGGCCGGGCATAAAGTATACGTATATGTAATAATTATCGGGAATGCCGCGATTTGTCACCCGCCACTGATACGGATCAATGGAACGTAACGCACCGACACGTTCTGAGGTAAAGTAAATTCGATCAGCGTGTACCGCTGAATGTGAGAAGCATCACGGTGACAAAAACCAGAGAGTGAAACAATCTACTGTACTTAAATTTAAGAATGAAATATTACATTGTATGTAATTGTTACAATTATTATTTATGACATTAAGAAATTGAATGTTTCTCAATTTACATTGAAACAAGTTCTTAATTCAAGAATTATTGCATTCAATTAATAGGTACAGAGTTTTATGCAAGAGAAGCATTCGTACCGTCTTGCAATTGTTAATGATATTTGAATGATTCATATATTTTTACAGTACGAGATCCAAAATTTGTATCAATTAATTAAGCTCGATTGTTTCAACATTTCTTATCATTATGAGACGAATTTTATTTAGTAAAACGATATCAATCGTTGAAAGAAACGAATATCTCTGCGACTGACTGTATATAAATTGTATTCAATTTTCAGGTTCAAAGTTTTAATATATTTTTGGGCAAATAACAGTCAGTTAACTTACGAAATTCCCGTCAATTTTAAAGAAATTTACGCAGCAAAGAACGTAGAACTGAATTAAACATTTTATTGAAAATTTGTTAAAAAAAGTATCCTGAGTTGTTTCTTTCAAAAAATTTATTTCATGTAACATTATATGCACTCTATTGACACGCTCTAAAATAATTAGGAACGATAATAAGAACGGAGCTCTTAAAGCAAGAGATTTGTCCGAAGTTAATGTCTTAAAAATCATAGTTCGTCAGACAGAAAATTGATTAATTAAATAACGAATTTCCTTTAAATTTCTAATGTGTGTTTAGTTTTGTTGGACACTCAGTGAAAAAGCTCGATGCTCCCGTGATGGAGGAGTGTGCTTAAATTCTCTCGATAACTTATATCACGGTAAACAACGGTAATGAGTCTCTCGGGAGCTGTTTCCAAGAAGAAGAATCCGCATATTTTATCCTACACGTCGTTTACACACGTTTCACCACTGTTTCACTATCTTCCTCGAATTTCTAAATATGAACTGCTTTCTAACGCAACGTGACAAGAGGATTTCGACATATACAGAAAAAAGGCGATGTAATTGTAAAATACATGTGCATTGTGATACACAAATTGCCTCGAATTGTTTATCTTCTTCTGTCTTCGACCAAAAAATTTAAATTCCACCCATTCCATTCTCCGCTTCTTCAGCGGAACTTTTCAATCTGCGACAACCACTCGTTCGTTCTGCAACCGAAACGAAATCTCGCGACTCCGCGTGGAATTAAACGAGCATTCGTTACGAAGTTTCCGTGTCGTTCGTAGGTACAACATGTCATTTCCCGCTGGCGAAACGGATAGTATTCGTTCTGCTTTGCACAATTGCTCGACGACATGCAGTTCGCCTCTTGAAGCGAGAAAGAAGAGATTCGTGGGACAAAAGGGCGGGGGTTGGTTAAAAGCAACGCACAGAAAGAGAAAGAGAGAGAGAGAGAGAGAGAGAGATCAGAAGCCGATGTATTGCGCCCTGCTGCAATCGCCTTACGCGGTATTTCAGGGGTGTTCGGTCCTTCTGTGGCGACCATTAGCCGCTGCCGACGAGGCCGCGTAACTTATGATAATGAAAATGCCGGCACGGTTGACAGCATGGTCCTGTCATTTAGTAGCAACGAGAAGCGAAACTCGCGATGTTCCGCGTCTTTCGTTCCGAATATCGTAAGCAGCTTTCCGTGAGCTGCTTAGGTTGTAACAGCCATCCTCCACGCCAGCCGACAAGTTCTTTTGACCCGGTGGTTCCGGTTGCGTTTGTCCCCTGTGCGCATTTCGAGAAAAAACTGGGCACAAAGGGCCACTTGCTTCATCTACATATATATATGTATACACACATATATGTATATACACGGGATAAGTCGGCGGAAGTGGTCGAGCGACGTCTACGAGGTTCTTGTTCTCGTCGGTCGAACGGATTTCTTATCTATTTTCCACGTAAGAAGGTCCCCACCGGACGATATTGTTGCACGTTCCGGGTGATTTCGGAGATTCGCGAGCTAGGATTTGAAGTTTAGAATGATGGATTTTTATATAATGGAAAATAGATGAACGGTGATATCATTTTTACAACACGATGATCGTTGTTTCGACGTATGGGGGATCTTAGATTTATGAGCGAGAATTTGGCAAAGTTTCAAGAAGAAGTGGATATATACAATGGGAGTAAATGAACAGTGAAATTGAAATTATTTTTATAACAAAATCATCGTTGCTCAGGTGTATGGGGGATGATTTCAGATTCCCAAGTGATGAAGTTTTAAGAAGAAGTGGATCTTTATGTAATGTAGCTGGATAGGTGAATGGCGAAATTAAATTTATTTACAATCTGAAATTATTGTCGATTGATTCTACGTTGCGTTAAATTTAAACAATTCTCAATCCCTCCAAAGTTATCAATAAACTGATTATTGTAATATATACTTATAAGTTTATATCTGTAAGTATATACTTACATATATAGCAAGTATACACTGAGTAATACTTACATATATAGCAAGTATAAACTGAGTAATACTTACATATATAGCAAGTATAAACTGAGTAATACTTACGTATATAGCAAGTATAAACTGAGTAATACTTACATATATGGCAAGTATACACTGAGTAATACTTACATATATAGCAAGTATACACTGAGTAATACTTACGTATATAGCAAGTATACACTGAGTAATACTTACATATATAGCAAGTATACACTGAGTATTACTTACGTATATAGCAAGTATAAACTGAGTAATACTTACATATATAGCAAGTATAAACTGAGTAATACTTACATATATAGCAAGTATACACTGAGTAATACTTACGTATATAGCAAGTATACACTGAGTAATACTTACATATATAGCAAGTATGTACTGAGTAATACTTACATATATAGCAAGTATACACTAGTCTAGTATAGTATAAGTATATACTTGTAAGTATATAGTTGTAAGTTTATACCTATAACTAAATTGGATTATAATTCCATATAGTAGGCGTTCTGAATAAATAATCAAGTAGAAACGATAAAATGGACTAAAATGGAATAAAAATTGATTTTAAAAGATTTTGCTAAATTTATAGCCTAGCATTGATAGAGGGTAAATTATCCTACGAGCTGCCAGCGAGGAAAATGTATTTTCCTCTCACCGGGGAAGCAAAAGGGTTCTCACTTTATTCCATTTGGCGAGTGCACAAGTCTCAGGGGTGCCCGAGAAACTGTAGATTTGTTTTCGTGTTATGCACGACATGGACTTCGCCAAGTTAAGATTTAGTTTGTAAGGTAGTCGATATATGCGTAGCCATCGTTGGAGTTGCCATCGCAAGTGCAGTTCAATTTTGATCTTAATCAAGTTTGCCCTTTTCAAACTTGGCTTTCTAACTCGATCAATCTCCTCCTGACGAGGATAATCTTAACAATTTCATCACGTTCTTGCGTGAATCTCTTCCCTATAACTAAACTAGGCTCGAATGTCACGTTTTATAATTCTGTTAACAAGTTACGATATAAAACTCTGGCAGCTCGCGTCTGCGAACTTTTGGCCAGACGTGCTTAACTCTAATCTCTTTCACGCATTTGGAAGTTAGTTCGTCAGATATTCCCGGCGTGTCAAATCGATGCCAAAGCTACTAAAATTTACAGAGAGAAATCGATCGTTTCGCTTTCGCGATTAAACAGAGGAATTTTAATCTCCCAATAGATAGACTAATCTCTGTTTATGCTTTTTTGATGACGAGATATTTCATTATGCTCGATGTTAAGAGAAAAGTTCAAGAATCTAAGTCTCTGTAAAATAATACGAGAGATAATGGAGAAATCTTATGAAAGACAAACGATATTTTAGTAATACTACAAAATAGTTTAGTATAAAATAGTTTAGTTAATAAAATAACTCAATTATTCATAAAATAATATATACATACACTAGCAATTACTCTAATCTTCCTAGTGTATATTCCGTTTGAATATTCACGTAGATTAATTAATAAACTGCGGAGCTTTGTGCATCTATGAAAAATTTCACGAACAATATAAAACACCCAAACATTTATTACATTCGTTACATACAGCAAATTTCCATTTAGATTTCATCCGTAAAAACATGTGAAATGCGCGAATCGTTTAATCATTCAGTTTACGACGTTTCACGTTCGTAATTGATTAACCGGCACGCTTCGTTTTTCAAAAATCTACTCGAAAGTCGGCATTTATTCAAGAGGTATCTATTCAGGTAGGAAGCTCGTTCAGAAATATCTGAAAAGTATTCAAGTCGGGGAGATATAAACGCGTCTCGATGAAAGCTATCGCCGATACGGAGCAATTTCCAACGCGAAGGGGGGAGGGGGGGGGGGCAGGGGGCAGTTTCCCGCCTCGCGCCGACAGAATTATTTAATACACACAGGCGGCGGGAATTAAAACATTTTTTTTTTTTTTTTCGAACAGCGGATTTTGCGGGATATGTAAATCAATCTTTATGTCTCGACGCGGCCCGTTGTTCGCTCGGGTATTCATTTACCTCGATTGCGGGGCCGTCGTTTCGCTTCGATGTTTAGATTAATGAGCCGAGCGTAATCCAATTCTGTAATTGGCCGGGGCGAAACGCGCGGCGATGACAGGGGAAAAAAAAAAAAAACGGGAATAAAGATGTACACTGGGGCAATAAACGCGCGTTTCCACGATCGAATTGTCCCCCGGTACAACCGGACCGAATCTCATTTCCATCGCCAGAAATTTTTTCACCGTGGGAGGTCCGATTTTTGTGAGAGCTTTCGCTATTTATGACAATTGAAGAGAGACAACGCCGTGTTTCTGTCGATGATTTTTCACGGAGTTCTGCTCTCAGGGGACC